GCATGAGAGATTCATTCCATTTTTTTTTTTTTTTTTTTTTTTTTTTTTTTTTTTTTTAAAGGTTTCCATGAGCAGCCCAGGCTGGCCTGAAAACATGACAAGCGAACTTCCTACCTCAGCCTCTGCAGTGCTGGGATTTCAGGCCTGTACCACCGCTCTGGGCACCATAGCTCATTTAAAACACAGAGGTAGCCAATCATTGATTAGGTTCTCTGAAGTCCACTTCTGAGCACACAGTGCATTTATATACATTTCTATACATATGTATATATACATATATAGGGTGTTGGGGTGAAATAATATCCTGCTTGTGAGATGAACGCAAGAGTATTACCTATTTTAAACCAGGCGTAGTGACGCATGTCTTTAATCACAGCACTCGGGAGTCAGAGGCAGGAGGATTTCTGTGAGTTCGAAGTCAGCCTGGTCTATAGAGTGAGTTCCAGGACAGCCAGGGCCACATAGTGAGACCCTGTCTCAATGTTCCCCTGCCCTCCCTGTAAAAATTATTATTTATTTTATGTAATACTGTGATATTTCCAAATACTATTGAGTATTCTACATAATACTGTTTGTGCACCTTCTGATGTACGGGCATGTGGTAACCACGTACACTCCCTTAATAATAGCACCTGGCCATCTCCTCTTCCACAACCCTACCGGTTTTTATACCCGTGTCTCCCTTCAGTTCACTCTCTGCTTTAAATTTCACTTCAGGTAATTTAACGCCTGCATAGAGACGTCTGCAACTCTGAGACATTTAGAAAGATTGCTCAGTCGGAACAGCCTGGGACACCAGTCCAGATTCCAATCATAGAACTGAGGCAAACGTCTTGTTCGCTTCCTTAGCGATTTCCTTTTTCACTTTCATCTGTACGTGGGAACGTCTCCTGCCCTGTAGTGACCGCAGTGCCTAAGGCCGACTTGCCCTCCGCCACCCAAGTCCGAAAGAAGTTCTCCAGTCCCAGGAAGTGACAGCGCCACTTGGATTTGTGCGTGGCCGCTTGTAAACACGGGTACGGTGCTAGAGGGCGGCGGGGGCGGGGCCAGCGCGCGGAGGGGCGGAGCCAGCGCGGGTGGGCGGGGTCTCGTCTAACGGTCGCTGACTCCAGGTGGTTCGCCCAGTCCGCTGTGTGGAGTCGCAGCTCGCGACGGGCGCCAGGCGGAACCCCGCGTCCGGTGAGCCGCGGCTCAGCAGGCCCGCTCTCGGCCCGCTCTGGTGTCGGCCCGCTCTGGTGTCTGTTCGGCGGCGCGAGACCTCGCTCCAGTTCTGTGAGGAAACCAGCGCCTGGGTCCCGAAGGTTCGCAGCGGAGCGCGCAGACCTCGGCCTGTCAGGTGCCTGCCAGTCGGGGCTCTTCATTCAGGCGTCTTTCCCCCGACGTGGTGCTCCCTCCCTCTCAGTTCTCCTCTAGTCAGGTTCCTCCCAGCCGCTCCATTTCCTGTCAGTGTCTCCCTGTCAGGGTCTGAGGATGTCCCTGTCCCGAGTCATCTGGTCTCTTGAGGTCAGGTTCCCTCCAGTCAGGTGACTCACGTGTGGAGGTGCGTTCTCCCCAGGTCCTCACCCTGTCAGGTCCCAGGTCAAGACCTAATCTCAGAGACAGGCTTTTGTAACTTTTTAATTTTTTTGGCCCCATATGGTGGTACATATTTGGATGCTTGCTCCCCAGTTAGTGGAATTGACTGAGAAACACTAGGGTAGGGATATGGCGTAGTTGGAGGAGGTGTGCCACTGGGAATGGGCTCTCCCTTTCTGCCCTGCTACCTGAGGATCAGGATGTAAACTCTCAACTCCATGCTTGCCTGCTGCCATCTTTCCTGCCATGATGAGAACGGACTTGGAAGGATATAACAAGAAATGGGAGTGGCTTCCTTTTGGCAGATCCTGCCAAGATATCCACTATGCAAACGTGCCGCCAGCAAGAGCTGGCGCAAGAGGTTTATTGGGGGAGGGGGAGGAAAAGTGTGGCATGGTGGCCTGGTGGCCAACAACTTAAAGAGTGTTTGGAAGAAAGGAAACTGTTTTCTTTTCTTTTTTAAAAAATATTTATTTATTTATTATGTATACAATGTTCTGTTTGTGTGTATGCCTGCAAGCCAGAAGAGGGCACCAGACCTCATTACAGATGGTTGTGAGCCACCATGTGGTTGCTGGGAATTGAACTCAGGACCTTTGGAAGAGCAGGCAATGCCCTTAACCACTGAGCCATCTCTCCAGCCCCCTTATTATTACTATTATTTTGTTTTTTGGAGACAGAATTTCTCTGTAGCTTTGGAGTCTGTCCTTGAACTTGCTCCGTAGACCAGGCTGGCCTTGAACTCACAGCGATCTACCTGCCTCTGCCTCCCAAGTGCTGGAATTAAAGGCGTGAGCCACCACCATGCAGACACAAGCTGATTTTCCTGCTTATACTTCCCAAGTATTGATATCAAAGGTGCACACTGATATGATCATCTAAAAAGGAAAAGAAATGTTAGCAATGAGAAAGTGCAGGGGAATGGATTCTCTGGTGGGAAATTCTGCAGTAGCTCCAGGGCATCAGTGTGAAACCTAGCTTTCAGCCTGGTGGACCGCATGATCCTGAAAAGAATAGCAGTGCATGTGGGCATAAACTGACATGTACTTGCATGCACACAGAAACTTCTTTGGGCTCACCAGCATCATAAATTCAGCAAAGTTCTTTCTCATTTCCACTCTACTTCTCTGCTCACAGTTTGTTTATTTAAGGCCCAGATATGAAGCCAACTTAGTAAATTTCTCAAAATTTAACTATAGCCTCAAAATTAGAAAATCATTGAGCTGGGGCTGGAGAGATGGCTCAGCGGTTAAGAGCATTGCCTGCTCTTCCAAAGGTCCTGAGTTCAATTCCCAGCAACCACATGGTGGCTCACAACCATCTGTAATGAGGTCTGGCACCCTCTTCTGGCCTGCATGCATATATGCAGACAGAATATTGTATACATAATAAATAAATATTAAAAAAAGAAAGAAAATCATTGAGCTGTCATCCTCAGATGACCTGTCAGCTAAACACATCAGAACAAGTGACTTGCTGTGTTTCATTTTCATCAGGGTTAACAGAATCCTCCTATTTTACACCAGAGTAAAAGCACCAAGCAATAGAGCATTCTCTGGAGGAAGAAAGAGTGGCACAAAGAGTTCTGGCCAGGTCATACCATAAACAAAAGACCAGGAAGGTCCTGGAGAAATTGGCCCAGATTAGACCAGCGCTCATCTTTCTAAAGCTGGAGGTGGGCTGGAGAGCTCAGGAAGGGCCATTTGGGAGACCTCGGTGGAAGCTGTCAGAGATAGTTGTAGTGTTCTGTCTCTTGTGGAGGGATAGCCTCCTATCAATCACCAGTGGCATTGCTCCACTGTAATCTTAAGCTGGCAGAATCCTACACCGTAACTTCTTTCTTTCCATCCTCACTAAGGACCTAGGTCAGTGGTCCTGAGGCTTTGCTCTTAAAATGACAATTCTTGCCCTATACTTTTATTGTTCCTCCCTGAGACACCTGAGTGGGTTCAGGGAGTGGTTCTGGTGACCATCCTGTAGGTATAGCTCTTAATCTGATTCTTGACCTGAATCACATATCATACAATGCACACATGAACAAATAAGAGAATAGATTACGGTGTTATCATATGTGAGGACTGATTATGCCTTGGTGGCACTGGAGTTGGAGAAGAGGAGGCATTATAACCAAGTGTGGTGACACATACCTTTAATCTCAGATGCAGGAGGATCAAGAGTTCAAGACTGTGACCTCATATAGTGATTTCAAGGCCAACCTGAGTTACCTAAGTCCCTGTCTCAAAAACCTAAAAGAATACAAAGTTATAAATATAAGTTGATGGTAAATTATATGATATCTGAACTTATGTATTTAACTCTTAAATTTTTATTCATCAAAGCACTCATGATGTGGGAGTGATTTCTTAATAATAAAGAAACTGCCTCGGCCCTCATAGGACAGAAAATTAGGTAGGCGGAGTAGACAGAAGAGAATGCTGGGAAAAAGAAGCTTAGTGAAGAGTCGCCATGATTCTCCCTCTCCAGACAGACGCAGGTTAAGATCCTCCCTGGTAAGCCAGCTCGTGGGCTACACAGAATATTAGAAATGGGTTAGAACAATATGTAAGAGCTAGCCAAGAAGAAGCTGGAACTAGCTGGGCTAGGCAGTGTTTGAAAGAATACAGTTTCCGTGTAATTATTTCGGGCATAAGCTAGCCATGTGGGCGGCCGGGTGCCGGGGACGCAGCCCCGCCGTCCTTATTTCAACACACTCAGGTAGTGAAGTAAGTGGTTCTTTTTTTGTGGATGATGAGGAAACTAATGTTACAATACATGACCACAAAATAGTGGTGCTGGGATGCAAAATCATTTTTTTTTTCAAGATATGGTTTCTCTTTGGCTTTGGGGCCTGTCCTGGAACTAGCTCTTGTAGACCAGTCTGGCCTCAAATTCACAGAGATCCACCTGCCTCTCCCGAGGATTCAAAGCATGTGCCACCACGGCACGGCCATTTTTGAGACAGGTTCTCTCTTGGTAGCCTTGGCTGTCCTGAAGTTCAGTATGTAGAGCAGGATCCACCTGCTTCTGCCTCCCAGGTGCTGGGATTAAAGACATGCACCCCCACAACTAGCCTTATTATTTTTTGAGACAGAACTTCATGTCACCCAGGCTGGCCTTGTAGTTGCTATGTATCAGATAGAGGATGTACCTGAGCTCCTGACCATTCTCCTACTTTACAAATGTGTGCCATTATGCCCAGTTTTTTTTAAAGATTTATCTTTATTTTATGTGTATGGGTGTTTTGCCTACTTGTGTGTCTGTGCACCACCTGTGTGCAGTGCTTGTAGAGGCCAGAAGAAGACATTTGACTCCCTAAAACTGAAGTTCTAGATGGTTGTTAGATGGTAGTCACGTGGGTGATGGAACCAAACTTGGGTCCTCTGGAAAAGCAGCAAATGCTCTCAACTGCTGAGCCATCTCTTTAGTTCCACCCCTAACTTAAATATTTTTATTTCTTTTTATTTTATATATCTAAGTGTTTTGCTGTGTGTGTGTATGCACACACATGTATAGTACATTCATGGTATCTGTCAAGGCCAGAAGAGGGAGTCATATCCTCTAGACCTGGTATCATGGATGTTTTTAAGCCAGGACGTCTTATTGAGCAGCAAGTGCTGTTAACAGCTGATTCATCACCTTTCCAGTCCCTGTGCCTGGCTATTTTGTTGTTGCTTTGTTTCTTTTTGAGACAGGTTCTCCCTCTGTCTTTCACAGACTGGCCTGGACTTCACAGTGTAGCCCAGTGGATCTTAGATTCATGGTAATCCTCCTATTCTAGATAGACTTCCAAGTGGTGGGGTTAAAGATAAGAGCAACCACACAGAGTTTGAACATGTTTTCTTTTCTTTTTAAAATTTAAAATGACATCTTGTGTAGTGAAGTAGGATGTGGTCTCCATAGCACAGGTGCTGTGGTCAGAGGACAACCTACTGTAATTGACTTTCTCCTTCCACTGTATGGGCCCCTTTCACCATATGGGGTCCTAAGAATAGAATTCAGTTATCAGGCTGGGGAGCAAACCCCTCTACCAAACAAGCCATTCAATGGTCCTATCATCGTTGTCATCATTATCGTGTGTGTGTGTGTGTGTGTGTGTGTGTGTGTGTGTGTGTGTGTGTGTGTGAGAGAGAGAGAGAGAGAGAGAGAGAGAGAGAGAGAGAGAGAGAGAGAGAAGTGCATATGTGAAGGTCAGAGAACAACTTTTCTGGAAACTTCTAGGTGGTTTTCCTATCTCAGGCTCCCATCTTGCCAAGGACTGCTGGGATTGCAGATGGCTTCTTTACATGGGTTCCAGAGATGTAACTCAGTTGTCAGGCTTGTGCAGTGCTTTATCCAAGGAGCCATCTCACCATTTCACCAGCCTTTGGACCTACTTTCTACGGGTTAAATCTGAATTAGTTACATCTCACAATTATACAAAATTTGCCAGTGGCTAATATCTTAGTGCTCCTTAGCTAATTTTAAGTTTTGCATTTTTTGTTTTTTTTGTTTTTCAAGATAGGGTTTCTCTGACTGTCCTGGTACTCACTCTGTAGGCCAGGCTGGCCTCAAACTCTCAGAGATCCACCTGCCTCTGCTTCCTGAGTTCTGGGATTAAAGGCATGTGTCACCATTACCTTTTTAACAATTTGTGTTTAATGTTTAATTTGTAAATACAAATTATATTTTCTAAAACACAGATTTAAAGCATGGCAAATTCCTTTGCATCGAAGAACTTCACTGCACTTTCAGATTTGCATCCAAATATGGCTAATCTGGTAGGTTTTCACTATTATACTAATGTTCAAGTATTTGCTCATGAAATGTTATGTGGCAACATTACATTATATCACCATTACTGATTCACTGGACATGTTTGTATAATTGACAAGTACCTAGATACTCATTGAGTTAGTATAATTGTTAGAAATTAAATACTCCTAAGCTTTGTATTTATCTCAGCTAAATGCAAATTAAAATTTCTTTTATCTATAGAGTAGTAGATACAGGGTTATAGATATGACTAGCAATTGTTTAAAGTGATGGCTGAGTGGGTAAATGTATTTATGTTAAGCTGAGTACTTGAGTTTAATCCCCAGAACACAAAAAGTGGAAGGAGAGCACTGATTTCTACAGGTTGTCCTCTGACCTACATATATTCACCACACATATGTGTGTATATATACACGCATACACACTATGCAAATGTAATAGTCTTGTATTATTTTACTAATAAAATGAAAAAATAAATTCTCAAATTTACCATTGTAAAATTAAACTATTTTCATTTAACAGTAGAAATTCTCTAAGAAAATTATTAAAATTTATATAGTTTATGTATTTGCAAACATGCTGCTTTGACTTTTTTTGAGATTGGATCTTACCAGGTGTCCCTAGCTAGCCTGGAACTCACTATGTACACCAGATTAGCCTTATAGAGATCTGTTTGCCTCTACTTCCAGAATGCTGGTACTGAAGTTATGCATCACCACACCCAGCAATTTTTATGACTTTTGATGTGAAATTTTGGAGTAAAGAGTTCTAGCATACTGAGGCTTATTTAAGTAAAATCTGAATTGATAAAATGAAGCACTTATTATAAAATAATTACAAAATTACCACATTCTTGTTTTCTGAGCAGGTGGTGTGTGTGTGTAAAGACCACTATGCTGCTGTGGAAAGTCCTTCTGTATATGTGTTGCTTTTAAATAAAGAAATTGCTTTGGCCTGTGATAGGGCAGAGTAGAGCTAAGCAGGAAAACTAAACTGAATGCTGGGAGAAAGAAGGCGGAGTCAATGAGACGCTATGTAGCCTCAAGTGGAGAAAGCTGCCAGCTGCCAGCTGGAACCTTGCCAGTAAACCACGAGCTTCGTGGTAAAATATAATAGAAATGGGTTAATTTAAGATATAAGAGCTAGCTAGAAATATGCTTAAGCTATTGGCCAAACAGTATTGTAATTAATATAGTTTCAGTGTGATTATTTTGAGTCTGGGCAGACGGGAAACGAACGAGCAGCCTCCCCTGACACTAGGCTGTCCTTAAAAAACTTTCCATTGTTCTTCCTGCCTCAGCCTCTGTGAATGCTGGGATTACAGGTGTGAACCATCAGGTCTGACTTCCAAGCAGTATGCTCTTTACCTGGCTTTTGCAAGTCAGATTCCTTAAAATTAATAAACTTACATGTAACTTTAATACTTTGCAATGCAAAGTTTATTGATGTAAAAAAACTTGTTACAATTTCCCTTGAAACAAACTATTTGCTAAATGTATTTTTAGCTTTAAATTTTTTTTATTTTTATGTGTATGAATGTTTTGCCTGCATGTATATCTGTGTACCACATGGTGCCCGCAGAGGTCTGAATAGGATATTGAGTATTCTGAAACTGTAGTTACATACAGATGATTGTAAGACACCATGTAGGTGCTGGGAATTGAACCCCCAGGTCCTCTGGAAATGCAGCAAATGCACTTACCCACTGAGCCAACTCTCCAGCCCCAATTAGAAAGTTTTATTCATGTTTTTATTTGTATGTTTCTCAAAAAAATCAGTAAGATGTGCATGTGTATGGATTTAAGAAATAATATTAATGTGTATGAATGTAATCAGATGACCAACAGTTCAACTGGAATGTGATAATTTTAAAGTTTTGAGTGTATTTGGCTTATTTTTGTTTTATGTGTATGGATGTTTTTGCCTGAATATATGTCTTTGTACCACATTCATGCAGTGCCTAAGGAGGCCAGAAGAAGGGATCAGATCTTCTGGAACTGGAATTAGTTACAAACTGTTGTTAGCTACCATGTGGGTGCTGGGAATGGAGCCCATGTCTTCTTCTTCAAGACAACATGTGCTCTTCACGGCTGATTATCTCTCCAGCCCTCTGACTGTATTTTTTTTTTTGTTTTTTTCTATGTAGCCCTGGCTGTCTTAGAACTTGCTTTGTAGACCAGGCTGGCCTCGAACTCACTGAGGTCCTCATGCCTCTGCTTCCCAAGTGCTGGGATTAAAGGCATGCTCCACCGCCACCCAACTCCCTGACTGTATTTTAAATGTCACAAATTATTGCAAGTTTGAAAACAGTTGCTAGGATTCTTCATTAAAGTTTATTTTTTTCCTTTCAGAAAGATACTTTAATTTCTTGTTTGTTTTTCTAGGATACGTTTATTTCTTTTTTGATACTTTTATTTCTTAAAGCATATTTTTAATATTCTCTTTTTTGGCATTCACTGAAGAGAACATTAAAACTTCTTTGGGCGGTTTGAGACAGGGTTTCTTTGTGTAGTCTTAGCTATCCTGGAACATTAAAACTTTTGAGGAGATATTAGTACCTCCAAAATTTAAGGTTTAGAACTTTAAGATTTAAGTTTGCTAGTGGCAATATCTAAGTTTGTTACAGTCTATATTATTGCCCAATATAATTGGAATAAGAAGCTAAGCAGCCAGGCAGTGGTGGCCCATGCCTTTAATCTCAGTACTCAAGAGGCTAAGGCAGGCGGATCTCTGTTAGTTTGAGGCCAGCCTGGTCTATAGAGCAAGTTCCAGGACAGCCAAGGCTACACAGAGAAACCCTGTCTTGGAAAGTAAAATCTAAAAAAGAAAGAAGAGGAGGAGTATGGGAGGGGAGGAGGAGACGCAGCTAAATAGTTTTATGTTAGAAAGCCCTATGCAAAGGAAAGCTTTGAAGACTATGGTAAATTAAATTGCATTATACATGTGTTTTGGATGAATTCAGTAAGGATTGATAGCTCCCTCTAGTGATTGAACATAAAGTAGAAACATTAAGTAAATGATTATATTTGTAATAGCAGTTAACTGTCTCATTACTTTGTACTATTCCTTGGAGAATTGAATATTTATGAAGACTGTTACTTGTGTGTCTGGAATAAATGCATTTAAATATTTCCTAGTCAAAAATGTTTGTTAGCGCTAGTAAAACATAACAAGTCCATGAAATTAAATTTACCATCTACATCTGGGTTTAATATTGTTTTCTATACTCTTTTGTTTTTCAGAAAATAATTGGTATAGTTATTGGGAAAACAGATGTCAAAGGCTTTCCGGACAGAAAAAGCTGAGTTCTATTTAACTCTTTCTTAATTTTTCATTAAGTATGGCTTATGACTGCAGCAAAGTACATTTAACTGACTAAAATTTCTGTTCTATTTAACAGAGCAATGACCAGGCCTTCTACATTTATGGTCATACTTGATTCAAGGCTGTAGATATGAAGACATAATATTTTCAATGATTTAATGTGATATTCTCCAACTATATTTTAAAGGCTTTAGGAAATAGTTAATTGGGCTGGAGAGATGGCTCAGAGGTTAAGAGCATTGCCTGCTCTTCCAAAGGTCCTGAGTTCAATTCCCAGCAACCACATGGTGGCTCACAACCATCTGTGGTGAGATCTGGCACCCTCTTCTGGCCTGCAGGCATACATACAGACAGAATATTGTATACATAATAAATAAATAAATATTTTAAAAAAAGGAAATAGTTAATTAAGTTTATCAATTCGTTAATTTTTAGTTTCATATTACCAGATACAATAGAGTATGAATAAAAGTATGAACTTGAAAATAATAGATTTACTGACCTTAATCACATATGTAGCTCTGGCTGTCCTGGAATTCACTCTGTAGACCAGGCGGTCTTGAACTCAGAGATCTGTCTGCCTCTGCCTTCCAAGTGCTGCAATTAAAGGAGTGCACCACTGTGCATGGCCAATTCAGATACTTCTAATGAGAATGGGTACGATGGACCTGTGGGTCATCTTCACATTGGGTAGAAGATGGCAGAAGGGACCAGGCTGAGAGGACAATGGTCACATGGAATAACAACAGGAGCAACAAAACATTTGGTCTTGGCGGTGAATGTCTGTAATCCCAGCACTTGGAAAGCATCGGCAGATTTAGGTTTTATTTGTTTTTGAATTTTTATTTATTTTATGTGTTTGAGTGTCTTCTCTGTATGTGTCTGGGGCCTGCAGAGTTCAGAAGAGGGTATCTGATGTCCTGGGACTAGGGTTACAGTTATAGTGAGGGTCCTGGGAATTGAACCCAGGGTGTTGGATCCACCTGGAAGTACAGGTGCTTGTGAGCTGCTTGATGTGGGTGTTGAGAACTGAGCCCTTAACTGCTGAGCCATCTCTCTAATCCTGCCTATATTACTTTTTAAATTACCAAAAGCAACAGAGGAAAAAAAATCCTATTCTGAAAAAAAATGACCTTGCTGACCTCTAGTGGTGCTTGAGTTGCATACAAATTGTTTTGAAACAACTATTCAGATATGAATTATGACTCTGGCTAAAGCTTTTCCTTATCTTGTTGTGTCTCACCTATGAAATAATACCCAAGTAGGATTTTGTGAATATAATAGTTGAAAAACGGGCAATAGTGAGATCTAGCTACCATGGCTGCTTATTACACTGTATGTGGAAGCACATGAAAGCATAGTGTGGTATCGAATATTCATTAGGGGATGATCACAAAATCAAGAGGATCACCAAAAGTCCACGACTAGCCTGCTCTACCCTGTCTCACAAACAAAACCAAAACTAAATAAAACAGGGCATATACATAAGAAATAATATTTTCTATCATATGTTTAAACATTTTATCATCATCATTTTGTTAAATAATCATTTGTTCAAAGTCATATTCACCTGAAATATAAAAGCGTTAGTTTTTCCTCAGATATTGGATCAGAAAGATACACTTTCAGTTTCACCATTCGTGATTCACCAGCCCATTTTGTGAATGTATCGTCCTGGGGCAGTGAAGATTACATCAGGCCGCTGTCTGAGAACTTTAAGGTTGGTGAGTGTGGTAAGTAGGCATTATTTTTTGTTTGTTTGGTTTTTGCTTTTTTTTGTTTTTCAGTTTTTTTCAGACAGGGTTTCTCTGTAGCTTTGGAGCCTGTCCCGGAACTCAATCTGTAGACCAGGCTGGCCTCAAACTCACAGAGATTCTCTTGTCTCTGCCTCCCGACTGCTGGGATTAAGGGTGTGTGCCACCACCACCCGGCTTGTATTTTGGTTTTTAAGAGAAAGTTTTTCTGCTCATGGTGGTACACATTTTAAATCCTAGCACTTAGGAGACAGAGACAGATGAATCTCTATGGCCAGCCTAATCTACATAACAAGGTTTAAGCCTGATACTGTTACACAATGAGCTCTTGTCTCAAAAACCCAGCTTGGGTAGGAGTGGAAGGAGAGGGGGAAAAAAAGGGGGAGAAAGAAAGACAGAATGAAACTCCCTAGGTAAATCACTTTGAACAAGTGGCATTCTCTTGCCTCAGCCTCCCAAGTGCTGAGATCACAGCCTATGCTACCATGCTCAGCAGCACTTTAAAAAATAGTCTTCTTACTGTATGATTCTTATGGAAAGTCTGTGACTGAGTGGAGTCAGAAAAGTAAAATACATTTATTCTGATCCTTATCAGAAAAAGTCAGTGTTACAAAGGCATGCTTTCTGATTGTTTCCCTGGTACTTGATAAGTGATACTTTTACTAGATATTTTGCCATCTTTTGTTTATTTCATGTTCCAACTTGCCTCAACCCCACAATTATTATTATAATCATATTCCTTTCTATAGACATATCCTGGGGCCAATAGTTATTTATGCTGTGGCTCTGAGAACAAGATCTTGTTGGGTCTCACCATGAAAGAACGCCCCATTAGTTTTCTGTGAATGTTAAGGAAAGGGGACTAGAATAAAGTATAAGCTTCACTGCTTGATAGATGATAACTTCAGCCTAGACAAACACAAGAAAGCATGTGTTCCAGTTCTCCTTTTTGGGAGAAAAAGAGGAGGAAGAGTGATACAGCAATCAAACTATTCTTTTTCAATGCTGCGTACCAAACACACATTACATATGTCAGTTAAGCAGTGCTCAACTCTATGTACTTAATCATTGGACCATGTATGTTTCAGGGATATGGATAGTCTCTCCTGAGTTGAATAATGTTGTCAAACATGTGAACTATGAAGACAGAGAATTTTGAAATCTTCATCAGCTTAGTACAGCTATAAATATTCCTTGAATGAATGCCAGAATACCCCTGTGAAAAGGGAGGACTTTCTGTATTAAAATGTTATAGGTTGATGGTTGTGAGGATAAATAAAATAAAGGATTGTTTGTGGTTAGATGTGGAGTAAAGGTCAAGTAAACATTTGTTTTATTGAAGGGCATGTTGAAACCAAATCAAATGCTGAATGCAAGAAAAATCAATAAAGTAATATTAGTATAGGCCATCTGTTGGGACTTAAAACACAAAGCCCTGGAAATGTTATCTGATGACATTCTAGGAGTGCTTTTCTAACAGGGACATGAGAAGGTGGCTGTGGAGGATGGAACCCAAGTGTGAGGGTCTTCGTTATGCACACTCAGCTCTGATTAATCTTCTGGTGATTTTGTGATGTTACCATACTTTGCCCTCTGTTTTAGTGATAATTGAAAATCCCCTGATCCAAAGAAAGGAGACAGAAAGAGAAGAAAAGTTCAGCCCTGCAACTCCTAGGTAATATCTGTCCAGCCCAGAGAGCAACAGTCTTTGTGTTAGAATGACAATATTAATAATTTTGGAGAAAACAGAAAACTTCAGAAGTTGCTTTATTTCAATTTGAAAAATGAATTGAATTCTCTCTTAGAATTTTTATCTTTAAATTATAATTTTTATAATCACAAAAGCTAACTTTATATTAATATCTGTGAAGGGTCAAATCAAAAGTCTCTCAAGGCTACCAAAATCCATGGGTGCTTCAGATCCCTTGCACACAGCTTTAACACATTTCCTCTATATCAGAAATCATCTCTACCTACAATACCTAATGTCATATAAGTGCTTTGTGAGTAGTTATTTTCATTTGTATTAGTTGTGTGTTGTATTTTTCTGAAATATTTGATACATGATTATGTGGAGATGTCTATGAATACAGGATTTTCAGATATGAAATATCATGCTTAGATTTGTAAAAACAAGACTCCAGTTACAATAAAACTAAAATATTAGAGGGCTGGAGAGATGGTTTAGCAGTTAAGAGGACCTGCAAAGGACCTGCTTTCACATTAGGCAGCTCGCATCAGCCTGTACTCCAGGGAAACTGATGCCCTCTTCTGGCCTCTGTGAACACCACAAACACACATAAAAACACAGACAAAAGCACATATATACAAATAAAAATAAATCTTAAAAAATCCCTAAACAATAAATGATAAATACTGGAATATATAATACCATATCAGACTCTCATTCTACTCACACACCCATTATCTTAGGCCAGGTTTCCTGGAAGGAGAACCTGAGAGCAAGATTCTTTACAAGTGGCCTATTGAGCGAGGACTCTCAGTAGAACCCTGCAAGGATGGGGTTTGGGGGAACCTGCAGCTGGAACTCAGGAGTATGCCTGTCCCTTAGAGCAGGACCCTACATGGAGGGTCAGAGATTTTGTACCCTGAATTATACATTGCCTGCAGTCCATTCCTCATTAGGCCTTCCAGATAAAGTTGGGGTAGGGAGCTGAGGAAGAAGCCTGACTTCCAAGGTGACTCTGTGCCTGCTAACTCCATGCTGTTCTATAAATGGCTCTCGCTGAGTATGGCTGACTGTGACATGAACATCTGCTCTTCTGACCTCCACTCAAGCCTGTCTCTCTGCAGCCACTGAGAATTTTCCTTTTCATGAACACCTGGACTCACTGCACTAAGATCTGTTCAGCTTTCTTGTCCCTCTACATAGAACAATGCTCCTATCTTCTTGAGTATTTGCTTCTTCGGGTTATCAGTGTCTCAGCTAGACTGTTACCTCATTTGACCCTCTGTTTCATAGAAGCCCCTTCAATAACTCACCAAGACTTTCCTCCCCACTCTTAGAATTGTATCCACAGCTGGGTGGTGGTGGTGCATGCCTTTAATCCTAGCACTTGGGAGGCAGAGGCAGACGGATCTCTGTGAGTTTGAGGCCAGACTGGTCTACAAGAGCTAGTTCCAGGACAGGCTCCAAAGCTACAGAGAAACCCTGTCTCAAAAAGACAAGAAAAAAAAAAGGATTGTATCCACATCACATTCTGAGATGGTTTGATTGTTTTTATGATTCCTGCTCGTATATATGAGCTTCACGAGATTAGGTGTATTTTGCATACTGTTCTCCCCATGCCTAAACTGAAGAAAAGCACATAATTGTAATAGTAAATATGTACGGGAGGTGGGAGGAACATGTTTGGCAGACCCAACAAATGCGAAACCTCTTGGCATATTCCAGAATATCCAGAATAATTAACTTTTAGGTTGAGCAACAGGAAACTGCTGACATTCAACAAAGTTTCACCAAAAATAGCAGTTTCATAGCTGGCATAGGTGGAATACAGAGCTGATGAGGAAAGGGAGAAGCCAAGGTACTTCTCAGATGAAATTCACTTCTCAGGGATGAGTAGGGCTAGAAAGTCTTTATCTGGGAAACAATATCCTATTCTGTAGTTTAGGAAGATAAACTTGATTGTAACATGGAGGGTGAGTCACTAGAGATGAGTCAGGAGAAGTGAGACCGTGAAAAACTAAGAAGGAAGGAGGGACTGGACTAGCATTCTGTGGAGGAGGGCTTGTCAAGACTTGTGGAACTCCAGTACACCATGAGAATTCTGAATGGACTTCACATGTAGCACTACAGAAGTAAGCAGAACAAAGATCTTGACCTCAGGTATTTAGGGAAAGCAATTGGAGTCATAAAAGAAATAATGATGGCTGGCCAGTTAGCGCAATTGATTAGAGAATGGTGTTAATAATGTCCAAGTCGAGGACTCCATATGGGGCTAGAGAGATTGCTCAGTGGTTAAGGGCACTGGTTGCTCTTTCAGAACAACTCAGTTCTCAGAACCCACACTGGGGCTCACAGCCATATAACTCCATTCCAGGGGATCTGATTCCCTCTTCTGAATTCTTCTACTGGTACAAGGCACACATGTAGTACACAGACATATATGCAGGGGAAAATGCACATATAAAATAAATAAGTCTTTAAAAAATGAGACCTCAGGCTTTTATAATCTCAAGCTTTAGAGTATTTTTATATCCTGTTTAAAAGAAAAGGAAACTGCAGCTTCAAGTCTTGGGCAAGGTCCTACAACTAGTATGATTAGAACTCAACCTAGATGTAGGAGGGAGGGCCTTGGACTTTCCACAGGGCAGGATGCCTTGCCCTCTCTTAGGATTGGAGGGGGTAGGGGTGGGAGGGTGTGCGGAGGGAGTGGGAGGAGGGGAAGGAGTAGAAATTTGGATTGGTATTTTTTTAAAAGTAATAAAATAATAATAAAAAAGAAAAAGAAAAAAACCCACAGAAAAAAATCTCAATATATGTTCTTAATTAAAAGAACATTATTACACTGAAGAACTATTTAAAGACTGTTATAAAAACACATTATTTGATGTTTTTTAAGACTAAAGATATAGGAACTGGAGAGATGGCTCAGCCTTTCCTGAGCCCCCAAGTTCAATTCCCAGCACCACGTGGTGACTCATACCATCTGTAACTCCAGCCCCAAGGAGACTGACAATCTCTTCTGGACTTTACAGGCACTATATGCAATAGTGCACAAACATATATTTAGGCAAAACATTCATTTACATAAAATAAAAATTTCACAAAAATTAATAATAGAAATATAGCTTTCTTAATACAGTCTAAATTCCAACAAAAAGTAGTCTACTGTGATCATTTTTTAAACAGGGTCTGATTTTATAACTCAGACTGGGCTGGAATTCCCTACCTATACCTTGGTGGCCTTGAATATGTTAGTCCTTCTGCAAATTAGACCTGCATCCCAAATGCTGGGATTATAAGTGTGGACAACCACACCTAGCTATATAATCTAATGTGAACCAAAGTATTTTTAATTAACAATAATGTGCCAACTTTTTGTATTTTTTTATATAGCAACTGGAAACTACTGCTCAGTGAGAGTCACTCAATGGTAAAAGTTTGTTCCCCTTATGAAGTGGATACCAAGTTACTTTCTTTGATACACTTGCCTGTTAAAGAATCTCGAGATTATTACTCATTGACTGACATTGTTGCAAATGGACACAATCTTGATGGGAGAATTATTAATGTGCTTGCAGCTGTGAGATCGGTAAGTCAGAAAAGCAGTCAATTAAAACCAGCAAAGCTCCCTGCCATGGCAGAGCACTCTGTCTCCTGATTTGTGTTTGGAATGCAGTAAGCACCAGATGGGTCAATATTTCCTCTTTACCTTGGTAGTAAATTGAATTAAGAAAATAATATTTCTCGGGCTGGGCAGTGGTGGCGCACCCCTTTTATCCCAGCACTCAGGAGGCAGAGGCAGGTGGATCTCTGTGAGTTCGAGGCCAGCCTAGTCTACAAGAGCTAGTTCCAGGACAGGCTCCAAAACCACAGAGAAACCCTGTCTCAAAAAAAAAAATTCTCATTATAAGTAAATTAGCATTTCATCAGTGAATCACTAAAAGAATAAAATCATTCAGTATTGTATTTATAAGTGATCCATTAGGTATACAAAAGCTTTGTATACTGGGTTAAACAAAAACACAAATAGAAAGGATAAGCTTATTGACGTGAACAACCATAATGTTCTTTAAACAAGTTGAAGAGTTAGCTGTGTATAGTGTGCTCAGAGTGACTCAGAGGTGGAGGAGGGTGGAGAAGACCTAGACTGCAGTGGGGGCTGTTGAGGCTGGTGCTGGTGAGAAGTAGAAGACAGTGCCCACAGAAGTCAGGAGTATTTTACAACTCCTGTTACATCAGCATCTGTTTCAGTAATTGTGACAAGCTCTGAGTTTAGCAGTTTCAACAGACAAAGGCACTGCAAAAGGTTTAAAGGTGGACCTCAAACGTATACTTTGAAGGACTTGGAGTGTGGCTCTATGCTTCTCCCACCCTCACCCCAAAAAGTAAATCTTCACAAAATATAGCACATGTAGAAAATTGTTGTTTAGGATAGAGAATCTGATACTCTCTATGACAATCTTTAATCAAAATCACTCTCCAGGCCATTTCAGCCAACCCTTAGTTGTTTCCTTGACATCCTCTAATATGATATCATTTGCATATAAAACCTAGAAACAGCTCACCTCACCTCCATGAGCATGGTACCCTCTTGTATGTCATATCACCTTTTTTATGCTCTTTATATTCCTGTTTGACTTCTCAACCCCAAAGACAGTATTTTACCTATTCCCCTTGCTATGGCTGACCTCTCATATCCTCTGGCCTTTGCTTCTTCTGACCTTCTCTTGTAGGTCCTGTTTCATGGAACCTTTGCATTTCTTTTAGATATTTCCCACAGTGCTCACAGTGCCGCTGTGGTAGTGACTTAGGAGAGGATCAAATGGCTAGTCTTCGGGCCTTCACTTGAGGCTACCAGAGATGATGCTCGCTCTCTCTCTCTCTCTCTCTCTCTCTCTCTCTCTCTCTCTCTCTCTCTTTCTGGGGGTATGTTTTGAGAGAGTGTCTCACTATGTACCAGGCTGGCCTTGACGTCACAGAGATTCTCCTGCCTCTGTTTCCTGAGTGCTGTCATTAAAGGTGTGTGCCACCATACCCAGTCACTTGTGTTCTTGTGAAAAACCCTGCTGGTCAGAGTCACAAGACCCTCTGGGTCCACCTCTACTTCTTTGATACATTCCCTGCATTGTGGGCAGAATTGGACATCAAATCATAGTGCTTTTCCTGTGCGTTCCCTCATTTGGTCCTCACATTTTTAACCCCAAGAAGAAGACAAGGGAGGCATCAATATTCAGGAGACTGAGGCCTAGGAAGTTGGAGTGCAAGCTTTCACAACAATTTCATGCCAGACTCTGTGCTAAGCCTTGGGAAGAGACACCCTTTCAAATTTATGTCACAAGCAGGTCTGTCCTGGAGCATTTGTCCTGGAACATTTATTGAGCTTTTTGTTGTTGTTTTGCTTTTTTCAGACAGTTTGTCTCTGTGTAGTCCTAGCTATTCTGGAACTTGCTATGTAGACCAGGCTGGCCTCAAACTCAAAGTTCTCCACCTGCTTCTTCCTCTAAAGTGCTGGGAGTAAAGGTTTGCACCACTACACCCAGGTTTATGTATTCAAGTCAGGATCTTGATGCAGCTCAGGCTGGGCTTGAACTCAACTGCAATCCTACCTCAGACTTCCAAGTGCTGGAGTGATAGTTGTCTTTACCACAGCCGGCTGTCCTAGTATCTTGACAAATAGTTTTTATTTGTTTCACGTTTGAGCACATATGTCTGTATTCTCTCTTCAAAGTGTTCAAATTTACAAGTTCAGCTAAGTACACCTAGTTTAGGCACAAAGTACATGTAGATAATTTGTTAATGATCCTTTCCTTGTTAATATTTAGAATTTCATGGTCAAAAGGAAACTATTTGATTATATTTAAGTACCTCTATATATGTAGGAGAGGAATAATAATTTCCTTCGATTTCTAAGGTTGGAGAGCCAAAATACTTTACAACTTCAGACCGAAGAAAAGGCCAGAGGTGTGAAGTTAAACTCTTTGATGAAACAGAGCCTTCTTTCACAATGACATGGTAATCTCCCATATCTGTCCCTGTGATAGCCTGCTCTTATTACTGAGACAGAAAACTTTCATTTTATAAACAAATGTTGTATCAAGAGGTATCATAATAAGTGATAAGCAATGTTTGAAAAAAAAACTTCTTTCTTGAAGGCTGAGATTTTTCTGTATGCAACCTTAGATGGCATAGAATAACTTAGAGGTACTCCACTGTTACAAATTTTATTATTCTGCTTCATAACAAATAGTTTTTTATTGGGGTCCACTGCTGAGGAGCAAAATCAACCTTTTTGAGATTCACTGGCACCCTGGATAATAGGCTATACTCTATCTAAAGTCCTTCCTAATATCTCTGCCTGCAAGCACCATTACCTATCAAGTCCCCTGAACTATGTATCCATTTGGGAGACACAACTGTAACGGTTAGAAGGCTCAACTTTGAAGATTTTAGATCTTGAATCCTTCAGTTCTAAGTAACCAAGTGCTGGGCAATTAAAGGACTTGTGGAGTAGATGTTAAAGATTAGTATATGCTGAAAGCCAACTTTTTTGCATAGGTGTTAAGTATGTCTTGGGCCTTGGGGATGACTTGGCCAGTAAAGATACTTTCCCAGCAAACCTGGCAACCCAAGTTTGATCCCCAGAGTCCACATAAAGGTGGAAGGAGAAAACAGACTCCATGAGGTTGTCCGCTGACCTCCATGTGTATGTTGTAGCTTGAGTGCACACGTGAGTGTGCATGTGTATACAAATACACATAGTAGTAATAGATTAGAAAATTTAAAGTACAAAGTCTTAACCTCTTTGGTTACCTAGAAATTGCTAACCCCAGTCACTAAGACAGTTTTTGTTTTTTTCTGTTGGGAGGTTCTTTTAAAGGGGGGTGTTAATACATCACAGCCAGATTTTTCTAATGTATTTACTTTGTTTCACTTCCTTTTAAACAAATGCAGTTGGGATAATGAATCCATTCTACTTGCACAGAGCTGGATGGCACGAGAAACAGGTCTTTTAATTTTATGATTGTGTTAAAAATATTTATTATTTTCATCCCTCATATATTAACTTTAAAAATGACTTCTCTCCAAAACAGTAATATTTGCCTCAGATGTAAGAATAAATTTTAACAAATTTCAGAATTGCATGGCAGCCACAGTAATCTCAAAAACCATTATCACAACTAATCCAGGTAAAATACTTTCTGTTTTTCATTCTTTTGGAAGTGATCATGAACATATGCCAATATTTGTACAATGCATTTAAGAATCAAACTGCAGGTTACATTTTATTGAAGATAGCTGAGGAATGTTGAGGTAAGGGGGAGACACATCCCTAATGATTTTCTCTAACCAGGTCCCACCTCCTAATATTTATTTAGCAATGAATTCAACAATAGATGAATGTATTGATGAAGTCAGGGCTCTTAGGAATTAATCACCTCTTAATAATGTCACTATCAAAAAAGAACAAAAAAAAAGAAAGAATAATCTTGGGACTAATCCTGCAACAAATGAGGCTTTGGGGTCATTTTATACACAAATCATGACACAGTATTCACATTTTTGTGGTAAAAACACAAAATACATTATTAGCGTCCTTTAGGAATGCAGCCTGAGGAATTTACTCCTGAGTTTGGTTCCCAGCACCCCTACATCAGGCAGCTCACAAACACCTGCAACTCCAAGGGGATGTTACACTCTCTTCTGACCTCTGTGGGCACCTACACACATATGCTATATCCTGTACAGACACATATATGTACATATAATTAAAAATCTTATTGTTATTTTGAGACAAGGTCTTACTGTGTAGCACTCACTGACCTGGAACTCACAAATTTAATAACTTAATGTAGTATACTATTCTATTATGTGGTTTTATTAGCCATAGACACTATGTTGTACAACACAGTTCTTGAATTTACTTTGTCAAGGGCTTAAATTTAGCAGAATATTTATAAAGATGTTTAAACTTGGCTGGTTGTTTTAAATCAGACATATTTTAATTTCCTGGGCCATACCTACCTACCTTGTAGAAATGGCTTAGATATTTATCACAGATAACATATTACTTTTTCCTTATGATTTTCCTGCCTTGAGAGTATTCATTAGAGTGAGAGAGAATTCTGTCTTCTCTATGGACAGTCTGAGCCATGTTCTTTAAGGTATCCACTGATTTGATTGCTGCAGCCCTCTTAGCAGTTCCTCCCCTTCAATGTCCAGTAGTTCTGTTAGGACTTCAAAAACATTCATTCACCCACCCATTAATTCACAAATACTCATAGAATGCTCTTGGCGGGGGCAGGGAGCAGGTTTGAGACAGGCTTTCTCTGTGAAACAGTCCTGGCTGTCCTGGAACTCAACCTGTGGACCAGGCCGGCCTTGAATTTAGAGATCCTCCTGCCTCTGCCTCCCTAGTGCTGGGATTAAAGGCATGTGCCACCACCACCGGCCATAGAATGCTTTTTATGCACCAATTGTATAGGCAACTTCAATCTTTTTTAGAACAAAATAGGAGACAGTGGAGGATCAGATGGATGTTGGATATTGGAATACACAATGAAAAATTACAACCCTTGTTCATGAGGAATCCACCCTCAATTTGAGAAAGAAAAGTGATAGGACATATATAATGGGAGCAGGAGGAAAAACTCCTCCATCCCAAGAAGTTAGAGAAGTCTGGGTACTGTCAGCACAAGTAGTGGATGTTGGAGGCTGGGGTCTTGGGACTGAAAAGCATTAGAATCCTGTGAAGACCCTTTCAAAGTGATTTTTTTGCCTTATGGCATGCCATCTAACTACTCTTGAGAAAACTCATGCCAGGGCGGTGGTGGCGCACGCCTTTAATCCCAACACTTGGGAGGCAGAGGCAGGCGGATCTTTGTGGGTTCGAGGCTAGCCTGGTCTAGAAGAGCTAGTTCCAGGACAGGAACCAAAAAGCTATGGAGAAACCCTGTCTCAAAAATCAAAAAAAGAAAAAAAGAAAGAAAGAAAGAAAGAAAGAAAGAAAGAAAGAAAGAAAGAAAGAAAGAAAGAAAGAAAGAAAGAAAACTCATTCTTAATTTGAGGGACAAATCTTTAAAAGAACATGAAGAAACATTTTTAGCTGGGTGTTGATGGCGCACGCCTTTAATCCCAGCACTTGGGAGGAAGACGCAGTCAGATCTCTCTGAGTTTCAGGCCAGGCTGGTCTACAGAGTGAGTTCCAGGACAGGCTCTAAAGCTACACAGAGAAACCCTGTCTTGAAAAACAAAACAAAACAAACATTTTTTTTTTACAGCTAGCCAAGGAGCCGGGCCTGGTGGCTCACACATTTAATTCCAGCACTTGAGAGGCAGAGGCAGGCAGCTCTCTGTGATTTTGAAGCCAGCCTTGTCTACATAGTGAGTTCCAGCACAACCTTGATTACATAGTGAGAGCCTGTCTTGAAAGAAAAAAAAAGCAAAAAATAAAACACAAAACCATCACCAACAACAAAAATAAACTAGCCATCATCTTGCATGTCTATAATCCCAACACTGAGGAGTCTGACGTACAAATAATTTGGGTCAGTCTGAGCTACTCATATCTTTCCTTAACACAAACAAACAAATACAATTTTGGGAAGAGGGATTTTTTTGTGTGTGTAGCTTTGACTGTCCTGTAACTTTCTCGAACAGGCTGGCTTCAAACTCACAAAAATTCACCTGCCTCTGCCTCCTGAGTGCTGGGATTAAAATTGTGCATAAGCACTGCCTGGCTAACAAATACAATTTTTAAAAGTAAATAAAAAGGAAAAGAAATGAATATAATATTCAGAAAATCTTTCTGATCATGTCTGGTAACCTAAGTTCATTCTTTGAAACCTGTGTATAAGTAGGATAGGATCGACTTAAAAATATTGTCCTCTTCTACACGAAAGTAGAGGCATGTGCATCCCCCATCCTCTCTCTCTCTCTCTCTCTCTCTCTCTCTCTCTCTCTCTCTCACTAGCAACAAATTAAAACAATTATTTTTAGTTTTATTATTTATGTATGCGAATGCATTGCCTGCATGTATGTATGTGCACCACACGTGTATCTGTTGTTCTCAGATGCCAGAAGATGGCACTGGATCCCCTGGGATTGGAGTTACAGCTGGTGTGAGCCACCATGTGGGTTCCAGGAACCAAACCTGGGTCTGTCTGCAAGAATAGCAAGTCTCTGAGCTATCTGTTGGGGCCCTAAAATTATTTTTAAATTAACAAAATTAATAAAATAACGAAAAATGAACATACAAATAATTTATAATCGTATTACCTAGAAATAATTTTGCCACATCTATTCTTTCAGATAATATTATATATTAATGTTTTTCAGTTTAAAAGACTGAGCAGTGGTGGCACACACCTTTGGGAGGCAAGGGCAGGAGGATCTCTGTGAGTTCAAGGCCAGCCTGGTCTACAGAGTGAGTTCCAGGACAGCCAGAGCTACACAGAAAAACCCTGTCTCAAACAAACAAACAAACAAACAAACAAAAACAAGTCTTTTTTTTTAAATATTTATTTATTTATTATGTATACAATATTCTGTCTGTGTGTATGTCTGCAGGCCAGAAGAGGGCACCAGACCTCATTACAGATGGTTGTGAGCCACCATGTGGTTGCCGGGAATTGAACTCAGGACCTTTGGAAGAGCAGGCAATGCTCTTAACCACTGAGCCATCTCTCCAGCCCCCTCAAAAACAAGTCTTAATACCACATTTTTATAAGGCTGTTCTTTTCACTAGCACAGATACAGCATCTTTTCATGTTCATTCATTTTGCCTTACAGTGTTAATGGCTTAATGATAATTCTATTGGATTATGATCTTATGTGGTATCATGTTTTACAATTAAGTTAATTTTAGATATTTTGTAGTAATTTAAAAGATAATTGTTTGACTTTTTCCTTATTATGCATTTTTAATTTAAGATACACCGGAAGCCAATATCCTTCTGAATTATATAAGAGAAAATAAAGAAACAAATGTGGCTGATGAAATTGACAGTTATTTGAAAGAATCCATAAATGGTAAGTGACCGTCTAGATGAGAAAGAGAGGGTGAGAGAGATGACTTTTCACTCTTGGGGTCATGCATTCTAACTAATTGTTGTTTGCTGAATTATATTCCTAGCTCCTCTTTTGTTTTCTTCTGTTGTAATCTTTTTCTGAGACTGGGTCTCACTATGTAGCCCTGGCTGACCTGTAGCTCACTATGTATACTAGGCTGATATCTGCCTGCCTCTGCCTTCCTAGTGTTGGGATTAAAAGTGTGAGTCATCAAACCTGACATTAAAATTTTTTTTTGTTTTTGTTTTTTTTTGAGACAGGGTTTCTCTGTGGCTTTGGAGCCTGTCCTGGAACTAGCTCTGTAGACCAGGCTGGTCTCGAACTCATAGAGATCCGCCTGCCTCTGCCTCCCAAGTGCTGGGATTAAAGGCGTGCGCCACCATCGCCCGGCTTTGACATTAAAATTTTAAATTTATCTTATATGTATGGGAGTTTTATCTACATATATGTTTGTGTACCATGTGTACTCGTGGAAGCCACAAGAGGGTGTTGAATCCCTTAGAACTGGAGTTACATATGATTGTGAGTAACCATGTAGATATTGAGAACTGAACCTAGGTCTTTTGCAAGAGCAGCTAGTGCTCTTAACCACTGAGTCGTTTCTCCAGCCCCTAATTTTTTAATGGGGGAGCTTATATTAATATTAGCCAGTCTGGGGGCTGAAGAGATGGCTCAGCATTTGAGAGTACTGGCCCCATGAGCCCTGCTTAGTTGATTCTGTGAGCTGATGTCCTTGACCCCTCTGGCTCCTATAATCCTTGTTCCCTCTCTTCTGCAGGGTTCCCAGAGCTCTGCCTATTGTTTGGGTGTATGTCTCTACATCAGCTCCTGGAGGAAGCCTCTCTGATAATGATAATTAGGCTAAACACCAATCTAGAGTTCTGGTGGCTGGAGTGACCTCTCTCTTCTTACCTTTTTAATGCTATCATTTGATAATTAGAAATTCTTCATTCAGTGAAGACTTAATTTCTCATTCCTTTTCTTATTTTGTGATGTTCAAATCCATTATATAGACATGTTTAATATAGCTAATGGAGTGTTGTTCTTAACTTAAATGTCTTCCTTGAATTTTCTTGCTTTTGTATTGGGATGTAAGCCTTTGTTATATTTGAGAACATATATAGAATTTTAATCCTTGTTTTTATTTTTAGTAAACACAATAGTTGATGTCTATACAGTGGAACAGTTAAAAGTAAAAGCTTTGAGAAGTGAAGGAAAAGCTGATCCTTTCTATGGCATCCTCTATGCTTACATTTCTACACTAAACATTGATGATGAAACTACCAAAGTGGTTAGAAATAGATGGTAAGTAGACATTGTTTTTAACAAGTTCATGTTTGTACAAAATAACTACTGTCTATTCTTTGCCCTAACAGTGGTTGTATGAAAGAAGTTTTCATATAAATAAACCATAATTAAAGGTTCCCATGACAAAATATGTTCTGTGCTGGATAGTTTTATGTCAACTTGACACAAGTCAGAGTTATCTGAAAGGAGAGAACTTTGATTGAAATGGCCTGTGGAAGGTGGCTGTGGGAGAGGGGGAACATGGGGAACAGAGTATCAGGAAGCAAGGGGGCTCATGGGGGAGGCAGCTAGGTCCTCGGCGGCTCAGTATCTGGAACAAATAAATAAAAGTTTTAAAGTAGGGGCTGGAGAGATGGCTCAGTGGTTAAGAACACTGGCTGTTCTTCCAGAGGACCTGGGTTCAATTCCCAGCACCCACATGACAGCTAACAACTGTCTGTAACTCCAGTTTCTGGGGATCTGATACCTTAACATCAATCCACATAAAATAAAGCTAAATAAATTATTTTTTTTTAAAAAAAGACAGACACGGGCTGGAGAGATGGCTCAGAGGTTAAGAGCATTGCCTGCTCTTCCAAAGGTCCTGAGTTCAATTCCCAGCAACCACATGGTGGCTCACAACCATCTGTAATGGGGTCTGGTGCCCTCTTCTGGCCTGCAGGCATATATACAGACAGAATATTGTATACATAATAAATAAATGAAAAAAACTCATAAAAAAAAAGACAGACACTAGAAACAGGTTCAGCATTGAAGCATACATTTGCCTGAATGTAGTCCACTGAAAATTCAAATTTAAAATAAAAAAGTTTTAAAGTATAGAGATAGAGCCTGGTGTAATGGTGCCCTTTTAAAATCCTAATGCTTGGGAGGTGAAAGCAGGAAAATCATGAATTCAAAGCTCGTGTTACATGAGACCCTGTCTAAAAAGCAGAAAACAACTCAACCAATACAAACAAAAGGACAGCTGGGTGGTGGTGGTGCAAGCCTTTAATTCTAGCACTGAGGAAGGAGAGGCAAGCAGAATTCTGTGAGTTTGAGGTCAGCCTGGTCTGTTAAGGGAGTTCCAGAACAGGCTCCAAAGCTACACAGAGAAACTCTGTCTCAAGAAACAAAACAAACAACAACAACAAACAAAAGGACAGAGAGAACTTTCTTACCCTCTTCCCAATGCACCCCAGAAGTTACATTTTGCAAGATATTATGCCTTTCTTCAGTCAGGATAGTGAATTCATCTGTCTGATTATCTCATCCAAGTCCCCAGATTTACACTGTGTATGTATGGTCTATATAGTTTTGGTACAGAATGGGTTTGTGGATCTAGTTTCACAGTAAAGATACTAACCTCTGGGATTTTAGAACATTTTACAATGTTATTAGAATGTTAAAGAGATAATACTACTAGAGATCAAATTTGTCACTATCTTTTGAAAACCTTTGTTTCTTTCAGTTCCAGCTGTGGTTATATTGTAAATGAAGCTTCGAACACTTGTACAATTTGTAACAAAGATTCTTCCAGACTTAAGTCAGTTTTTCTCAGTTTTGATCTATTGGTTGATCTTACTGACCACACTGGAACACTCCATTCCTGCAGTCTCACAGGAAGTATTGCTGAGGAAACTTTGGGTTGCACGGTAAATATCAGAAAAGAAGAAATATATACAAATATTTCTAATCCTCTTGTATATTCCTTCTTAAAACTATAGATTATTGCTGGGCAGTGGTGGTGCGCGCCTTTAATCCCAGTACTCAGGAGGCAGAGGCAGGCGGATCTCTGTGAGTTTGAGGCCAGCCTGGTCTACAAGAGATAGTTCTAGGACAGGCTCCAAAGCTACACAGAAACCCTGTCATGAAAAACCAAAACCAAAAAAAAAGGCTAGATTATTTTGTTGAACATCTGGTAGAAACTAATCAATTAATAGAAATCTTGGGGAAAGCCCTCTTGGTTTAAACATACATATTTAGAAATTTTTCTTTTCTTTTTTTTTTTTTAAAGAAAACCATCTTTTTTCATTATACATACCAATCCAAGTTCCCACTCCCTCCCCTCCTTCAACTCCCTCCACTTACTCCCCCCCCCATCCACTCCCCAGAGAGGGCAAGGCACATTGCTTTGGGGAAAGTCCAAGGCCCTCCCTACCATATATATGTAGGCTTAGCAAGGAATCCATCCAAAGAGAATAGGTTCCCCAAAAGCCAGTACATGCAGTAGGGATAAATCCTGGTGTCACTGCCAGTGACCCTTCAGACTGCCCCAGCCATGCAACTGTCAATCACATTCAGAGGGACTAGTTTGGTCCTATGCTTGTTCCTTCCCAGTCTAGCTGGTGTTGGTGAGCTCCCATTAGCTCAGGCATACTGTTTCAGTGGGTGTCCCCATCATGGTCTTGACCCCTTTGCTTGTATTCTCACTCCTCCCACTCTTCAACTGGACATTGGAGCTCAGTCTAGTGCTCTGATGCGGGTCTCTGCTTCTGTTTCCATCAGTTGCTGGATGAAGGTTCTATAGTGATATTTAAGATATTCATCAGTCTATATAGTTCAGACTGGTCTTTTCTCTTTCTTTCTTTCTTTCTTTCTTTCTTTCTTTCTTTCTTTCTTTCTTTCTTTCTTTCCTTTTTTTTTTTAATGGTTTTGAGACAGGATTTCTCTGTGTAACCCTGGCTGTCCTGGAACTCACTCTGTAGACCAGGCTTAGCTTCAAACTCACAGAGATTCACCTGCCTCTGCCATCAGAGTACTGAGATTAAAGGCATGTGCTACCACCAACCAGCTTAAATATGACATTTTATATAGTCAGTTATAAGGGGTAAAACATATTGGAGATATTGGCTGTTGTAGGAGTCTATATTGGCCATATCTCTTCTCCCCAGCTATATATCTAGTTCACATTTTGTCCTGGTTCTGCAGTACAGACAGCAACAGATACATGTAGACAGGCAGACATTTGTTAAAACCAGGTCACAACTGAGCGTGGTGGTGCATATCTGTAATTCCAGCACATATGAGATGAAGCAAGGGGATCATGAGTTCAAGGCCATCCTTGGGTACATAGTGAATCTGTAGGACAACCTGGGCTATATGAAATCCTATCTCAAAAAAACAAACAAACAAAAAAAGAATAAGAAAAAGAGGCTGGCCAGTGGTGGCACAGGCCTTTAATCCCAGCACTCAGGAGGCAGAGGCAGGTGGATCTCTGTGAGTTCGAGGCCTATCTGATCTACAAGAGCTAGTTTCAGGTCAGGCTCCAAAGCTACAGAGAAACCCTATCTCGAAAAATAAAAAATAAAAAAAGGAAAGAAAACAAAGACAGATCACAAAACTTACCATTAAATTTTGACTCAGAATTCTGAGCCAACTTATTGGGAAGAATTTTTCCTGCTGAACCCTTGACTAGCTTTAGTGATTCTGGTGATAGTTTTCATGCTTTATTCCCAAAGGAACTGAGCTGCAATGCTGTGAGTACAACTCCATTTCTAGTGAGCAAATGTGTTTCACAGTGTGGTCAAATGTTATCCATGTCTACTTCAGGAACACTTATTTGATCCTTTTTTTTAACCAGACAAATGAGTTTCTTGCAATGACAAATGAACAGAGAACAAAACTGAAGTGGCAGTTTCTTTTGGAAAGAAGCAAAATTTATTTAAAAGTGAGTATTTTTAAAGTAGTGTTTTTTTATAAATTCAAGCAGTAAAAAAATCTTCATGGGGATTTTTCTTTTCAGAGCTGAGGCTAAAACCAAGGCCCTTTCATATGCTAAACAAGTGCTCTACCACCAAGCAGCACTACCCAGCTCAGGAGTGTGTTGCCCTTAATAATTCTCAATTCCAGATGTGCAAAAGGTTTTGGCTGTCATGGAAACAATGGAAATAGTCATAGAATAAAAGGAGTTAGCAATGACACTAAGTAGGATAGTGAGAAAAATGCCCTTTAATGACAACTTCAAGACAAGGCAGCAAACCCCAGTCCTGCCTGTCTGTGCAGCACTGCTCTTTGAGGAGAGAGAGGCTGTTAAACAGCAGTTCAATGTCTTGCATCTTAGCTGACATAGCTGTGGTGTGAACTCCAGTTTCACCTTTCCGTATCTTAGTCTGTGCAATCCCCAGATGTGCGTTCACTTCACCCAGCCCAGAGTTATGTGAGCCTACAACTGTGAAGGGCCAGTGCTGACTCCCAAGATGCTCTCCAATGTTAGAGGATAAGGATAAGGGGATCTTAGTATCAAAACCAGAGAAGGCAAGGGAGTGTGTGACAAATTGTTGGCTCTTGTCCAGGTCACTGGTGAGAGGACAACAGCTGGTGTTCTGTCCTTCTATGCTTTTAGTATTTTCTGTTATAATCCTTAGGTACTGAGTTCCAGTTTGTATTTGGATATTTATTCTATTAGAATTTAATATTGAGGAGATGTACAAGTATGTTCATGAGCACACATGCATTAGTGCTCAGAGCAATGCTGTCCTCATACTATACAAACTCTACAAATGGCAGAGAATGGAATAGGAGTGTCAGCACTTTGATATAACTCTAATGACCCTTCTGCAGTCTTTGTGGATGCTGTTTCTACTCCACCATGGCCTCAAAAGCAGCTGTACTATTTGTAGATGGTCTTTCTCTAGTAACCTCAAAGTTAATCTGAATAGACTGCAGATATGGAGTCAGCAATGGCCTCACCAGTATTTCTAGAACTTAGTTTTCAGGTTGTAGTTACCATTGGTCTCAGACTTAGGAGAGAAGTTAGTCATATGCTACACCTCCCCACATTCATATGGACTCACAAAATGTTCTGTTCTATCTTCATAAGAACACACATGAGGTGGGTGGTGCATGCCTTTAATCCCAGCACTCAGGAGGCAGAGGCAGGCAGATCTCTGTGGGTTCAAGACCAGCCTGATCTACAAGAGCTAGTTCCAGGACAGGTTCCAAAGCTACAGAGAAACCCTGTCTCGAAATAGTATCTGTACTGGCTACTCTTCAGAGGACCTGAGTTCATTCCTAGCACCCACATGGGGCTCACAACAGACTTTAACTCCAGTTTCAGGGGATCCAGTATCCTCTTCTGGACTCTGAGAGCACCAGCCATGCAAGTGATGTACAGATATGCATGCAAGCAAAATACACATACATGTAAAAAATTGTATTTGTTTTGTTTTGTTTCTTTTGAGATAGGGTTTCCCTCTGGGCTTGGACCTCATTATTGACTGATTTCAAATTCTAGGCTACCCTCTTGCCTCAATCTTCCAATTACTGGGATTACAAGCATGAACTTTTATGAGTTTATGGACTAGTGATGGAACCCCATAGTCAAGACTCTACCAGTAACCCATATACTCGGACTCTAAATGGCATTTAAATTGGACTCATGAGATATCTTGGGCAGATATAACATGGTTATGGTATGCAAGATATATGATAAAGACCAGAGTCTGTAAGCCAGGTGCAGTGCCTTAAGCCTGTATCTACTTGGGAAAGTAAGGTAGGAGTATTGCTTGAGGCCAGGAGTTAGAGACCAGCACATGAAATGACAATCATAAAACCCTATCTCAAACAAGCAAAACTATAAATGTAAGAATTATTGTTTGACAATTTGATCAAGTATGCCAGCTAGGTAATCCTAATACCTGGGAGGTAGAGGCAGAAATACCAGAAGTTCCAGTTCATTCTCAACAGTATAGGGAGTTTGATGTCATTCTGGGTTATGTGAGACTCTGTCTTAAATCCAAAACAAAACTCTGTCTATAAAGATGAAATATTTTTCACCAGGCATTGGTGGCACTCACCTTTATTCCCAGCACTCGGGAGGCAGAGGTAGGTGGATCTCTGTGTCCAAGGTCAGCCTAGTCTACAAGACCTAGTTCCAGGACAGGCTCCAAAACTATAGAGAAACCCTGTCTTGAAAAAACAAAAGAAAAAAGCTTCAAGAGCTACAGGATTGATGTCTGAGTTTTGGTTTTTGGTTTTTTGAGACAGATTTTCTGTAGCTTTGGAACCTGTCCTGGAACTAGCTCTTGTAGATCAGGCTGGCCTTGAACTTACAAAGATCTGCCTGCCTTTGCCCCGGAGTTCTGGGATTAAAGGTATGTGCCACCACTGCCCGGCAATAAAATATTTTCTATAATTTTCTTATTTCAGTTAAAAATTGTTGCCATTTAAAGTGATTCCAAGCTGGACCCAGCAGTGTATGCTTGTAATTCCAGCAATCATGACACCAAAGTAGGAAGACCATGAGTTTGAAGCCAGTCAGAGCTATACTTTTCTGTTTCAGAAAAGCACAAATCCAAACAACAACAAAAGCTTGTACTTCTCCCTTTGTGGCCATTGGTTTTCAACTTTGTGTACAAGGTAGTGTTTGAATCTAACCCGCTGTCTCTTTTTGTCCTCAGTTGATTTCATCACACAGAGCAAGGGCTGGACTGAAAGTTAGCATACTCTCCTGTAAGCTTGCAGATCCCACTGAAGCAAGCAGGAACCTGGCTGGACAAGGACACACTTAAAACCATTTTTTGTTCCAAAATATGTTAAAGTATAGAAAGTTGACTCTTTAAAATGGAATGTTTGAAAATTACATGTAAAAACATTGCCTAATGTAGTGAAACTATTTCTTAGGTTGTCACTGTTTCCTACCTGGAAGACCATTTCTAACAGCTTTGCTGTCCTCTCACACTGGAAAACAGTTGCTCGTGTACAGTAATAAATATGCTTGATCTTCCTCATGGGTGTGAGCGGTTTCTTTGTCTCTGGAAGGTTAGAACCTTTCAGTTATCTTCCTTGTAGTGTGGTGGCACATATTTGACAGGACACAGTAAAAGGCTCTGATGTTGGGCAGAAGGCAAGACTGTGCAGGAGCTGGCCTTGGCTTTGGTGACAACACTGAAACTACCTGGTGCATACAAAGACTTGCTGATGCAGGCTTGGCACCTGTGACTCACTGGGGAGGAGACCGGCTTCAAGAGCTACAGGATTGATGTCTGAGTCCCAAGCACTTTGAAGAGGGAATTTTCCCAAGATATAAAGGTGGCAACTGTTTTTCATCCTACTCTTCTCTGAAGCAGCACAGGGCACAGTGCTCAGCCCAACATAGATCTGGGCTACTTGTTTCAGGAACAGGCCCCTCTGTAAGACCCACCCTAGCTCGACACTGACTGCAAACTTCAAATCTGACCCATTGCCCTGCGCAGAGCTGGACGAAGACAGAAAGTGAGTACACTGGACTCTCTTGTGAAGCTGTTGCTGGAAGGTACATGCGCCGTATTCAATGCAGTCTATGGTTTACTGTATGCAGTCATGGTGGTTTGCCAGATGATCCTGGTATATCCTAATAAATGTGGTGGTGAAGGACTTGATCTACACAGCAGGATGGAACTGGTAAAGTGCTTTCTCCCATTCTCTTTGAGAAGGAAATGTGTGTCATGTAAGCTATGTGTCATCAGGGTGACAAGAAAGGAGGGAAGAAGAGTTGGAGCCGTCTGGCTGGGAGAAGAGAAGTGAGAGCCATAGCAGGATTCACATCTGCTAGTGGCTGAGAGTGGCTATGTGCTTGTTAGCTATAATAAAGTTCCAAAAAAAATACACTTGAAGGAGGAGAGATTAGCTTTGGCTCATGATATCAGACATTATCCCTTCACCCATTGCTTTTGCTTGAGGGTGAATACCATGAGTGGTGGCATGTATCAGAGCAAAACTGCTCTCCTTGTAGAGACTGGGAAGCAGAGGGAGGATAGGTTCCCAAGAACATACCCCCCAGGATCCCTTCCTTCTGCCAGGTCTCACCTCCTAGTTCCCCACCCCTGTATTCTTCAACGGGGTTTTCTTATGGCAGGCTGGCCTTGAATTTACAATCCTTTTGGTCAGGCTCCTAAGTACTAAGATTATAGGGATAGTGTTGAACTTACTGTATACTGAAGGTTCCTTGATGCTCCTGTCTCTGCCTCCCAGGTGCTAGGATTAGAAAGGTGTATACCCATGCCTGGCTGTGTCCTCAGTTTCCCATGCCTCCCAACAGCCAAGCAATGAACTAATCCATTAACGATATCAAAGCTCTCTTGAGCCAGCCATTTCACAGACGTCCAATAGGGACAACCAAACTTTTTTTTTTTTTTTTTGGTTTTTCGAGACAGGGTTTCTCTGTGGTTTTGGAGCCTGTCCTGGAACTAGCTCTTGTAGACCAGGCTGGTCTCGAACTCACAGAGATCCACCTGCCTCTGCCTCCCGAGTGCTGGGATTAAAGGCGTGCGCCACCACCGCCCGGCCACAACCAAACATTTTTGATCCAAACCATAATGGTGTCCCTCACTGGATTCCACTCTGGCATGTCAGAGGCTTCTGGACCATGCAGGTCTGTAAGCACCAGCTTGGTTCCTGTGCTAATGTCTCGAAAAACAAAACAAAACAAAAAACCAGACAAAAGTCTTAGCATATTTGCTTAGTGTTCATAGTGAAAGGAAATGGAAAACCAACCTGATAGTGGAGTTACTATGATTACATTTGTAGAGATCCAGCAAGGAGGTATTTAAAGAGATGCAAATTATCACCTAGTCATGGTACTTGGCCGTGGTTAGAGTTTGTAGGGTTGGGAGAGGCATTCTGAAACTTTCATGCTGTTACACTAATCTAACTAACGTCTACTCACCCCAGATAGGGAACCAATGACAGACCAAAATAGGAATACTACCAAAGTCCAACTTGATAAGACAATGAGCTTTGTGTGGTTACTTATAGGAGTGTAGGTGTGAGAGTACTTACTGGAGCAGAAACGAGTCAGACCGTTGTATCACCAAAGCCCATTTCACCATGGATAAAGTTGCATGAAATCTGGAATCTCAGAGTTCACTGAAGAATTTGCAGATAGTTTGACAAGCAGCTCAATTTGTCTGAGCCTCTTCCAGGCAGTTCAACCTGCCTTCTTCAGGACCTTCTCAAGCAGCACTGCCCCTCCAAAAGCTAAAAGATCCCTTCAAAGTTGGATCTACTGGAACTAGAGGGGTCTCTCTTCCAGGCAAGTTGGCTGATTTCTGCCTCTTCCAGGAAGTTCAGCATGTCTGAAACTCTTCTGGGCAGCTCAGAGTGTCTAAGAACATCGCATAGCAGTCCTGACTGTTTACATAAGCTTGGGAAAAGAGGGTTCTAGACTTCTGGTCAGTTTCAGGGACATCCTGAAACTATTGAGATGTTTATTTCCCGAGACTTTAGACTTTAAGTAGCTTCTCTGAAGGACTGCATGTTTCACTTCACTTCAGAAGATCCTATCTTAAAGGGCTTCTATAAAATGGAAAGCTTTATCTCGGAGGAAATAGCTACATAACAGTTGTCAAGTACAAATTTGTATATTCTCTTTCCTACACATTTTGACAAAATGCACCTAAATCTTTAAGTGTAAACCAAATAATCAGTTTCATAGCCTTTTCCCCCTAAAGAATAAACACTCAATGTTGTGTTTGAAAACAGTTCTTATCCAGGCTGTGGTGGCGCACACCTTTAATCCCAGCACTCGGGAGGCAGAGGCAGGCAGATCTCTGTGAGTTCGAGGCCAGCCTGGTCTACAAGAGCTAGTTCCAGAACAGGCTCCAAAGCTACAGAGAAACCCTGCCTCAAAAACAAAACAAAACAAAAAACAGTTCTCGCCTTGTTGTGTCTGTTTAAACACCAGAAACTAAACCTGTGGAGAATGTTGCCCCACACCTCACCCCATCAACTCCAAGTTTTCAGAGAGTTCCCTGCTTCTGTGAGGAGCTAGGATGCCTGTTGCGGCTCTGAGGGAGACAAAGTGCACCATGTCTGCAGACTACTTTACTGCTCTCTCCAACCAGAGTCATCTTCCCACTGAGCTTCGTTCCCGTCCTCTCCACCTGCTTTGCATTTCCTTGTTCCTTCACTTATCTTCCTGAGAGCACCCCTTCAAAACCCCTGAACAACGATTTCCATCTTATGATCTGCTTCTGGGACATAGGATCTAAGAAGATATACCAATTAAAAATAATTAGATGAGTGATCACTAGCCTGAAAAGGTGTTCAAGTGAGTGGATAATACTTTCCCCTCCGGTACTGGGGATGGAACCCAGAGTTTTACACGTGGTGGTGGTAGGCAAGTACTTTATCACTGATTTTATATATACACCTCTTCTTTTTTGTGACACAGATCTACGTAGTCTGGCCTTGCATTTGATATGTAGCGAAGGATGAACTTGAATGTGGCAGGGAGAGGGTGAGAAGGCGCTGGAGGTCAGGTGAAAGACAAACAGCAGACTCCTTTATTCAGCTATGGTGAGAGCCTTATATGCCCTCTTCCAGCACCCAGGCTGCGTTCCCATCAGTTGACATTGCTTGGTTGCCCCTTATTAGCTAAGCATGATCAGGACCTCTGACAGAGCCACTTGATAGCTCCTCAGGCAGACTCCAGGCTGGTTCTTCTCCTGGCCGTAGGTCCTATATCTTCCTATACTTGAACTCCTCCTGATTCTCCTGCCTCCATCTCCTGAGTGCTAGGCATGTGCTGTCAATATGATGCTCAGATTGAACCCATGACCTCATGAATATGAGGCAAGCATCTCATCACTAAGTAAATTCTCAGCAGTCCTCTTCCCCACTTTCTACTTTTTCTTCTTTACTTTGTATTTGAGACTGGGCCTCACTAAATTGCTCAGAAAGATCTTGAATTTGCTATCCTCCTGTCTTAGACTCATGAGTAGCTGGGCCTGGCCTAATGTTCACTTTTTATAGAAAACCAGTGGATTTTTATTTTATATTTTAATTTTTATTTATTTATCTATTTATTTTTGGTTTATTGAGACGGGGTTTCTCTGTGTAGTTTTAGAGCCTGTCCTGGCATCAACTCTGTAGACCAGGCTGGCCTCGAGCCCACAGAGATCCACCTGTCTCTGCCTCTGGAGTGCTGGGGTTAAAGGCATGCACCACCACCAACCAGTTTAAATTTTTATTGTTTTTTGGGACAGCCTGGTCTACATAGGAAGGTCCAGGCCTTGAACTCCCAGAGATTCACCTACCTCTGCCTCTTTAATGTTGGAATTAAAGGCATGTGATCCAATACATTAAAAAATCACTGTAACAGAAGTCAAGACATATTCTGCATAGACTAACGTATTATTAAATTATTTTATGTGTAATTAGCAAATAATTTTTTTGTATTTTGAAACAGTCTATGTATTCTTGGCTGTCCTGAAACACACAATGTAGACCACACTGTCTCCCCAGTGCTGTGATTAAAGGTATGCACCACTATGTCCGGTGAACAATGTTTTGTGTTGTTTTAAATTTGTATGTGGGTGGGTGTTTGGGCTGCCTGTATGTCCATGCACCATGTGCATCCAGTGCTCACGGAGATCACAGGGTATCAATTCTCTTGGACTGGAGTTACAGACAGTTGTTAAGTAGTCATGTGGATGCTGGGGGTCGAACTTGGATCTTCTGGAAAAGCAGTGTTCTTAACCTCTGAACTATCTCTCCATATCTGAAAGTTACAGTTGTTAAATCTACTGAAGGGTAATTTGACTTCATTGGATAAATCTTACAATTTTTTCATAGATTATATTTATTTAAAATAAGTTGAAAGAGTATTTATCTCCTGGGTGTGAGGTTTACTGTGATTTTAGCAGCTGAGAAATTGTGGGAGTTGGGTTCAGTTTTTGATTCTTACTTCCAAGGACTTTGTGTGCTACAACTGTAATGCTGGTGTCAGATGTTTGTGACAAAGCTCATTCCATTGCTTGGTGGACATTGGCCCCATGGGCACTGTACTTTCTGGGCACACTAGCTTGTACCTTCAGCTTGCTTAATTGCTCTGTCAACTTAGTAGATGTTTCTCAGTTGAACCTTGTACTTGCTAGCTAGATTAAAGTACAGCTTCAAATGGGCGGCATGCCCTTTGGGCTCACTGTTTGACTTTGGGAACCCAGCCACACGAATCAGGAATTATCAATGTGCTGATTTCACCAGCACACCCTAATGTCTAAAACCAAAGAACTGACTGACCTAGAGTCTTTCATAATCGATGAAAATCGAATTGCAGAACGGTGCGGACTGATGTGGAAATCACAATAGCCAGTATAAAAACCAGGTTGGAAACATATGGTAGTGGCATATACCTGTTATTCCAGCAGCACTCAGGCGGCTAGGGAAAGAGGATCATGAGGTACAGGCAAGCCTGAGCTACATAGTGAGTCCCCATACAAAAATTCCACTTAAAATAATATCCATATTCAGATTTGGAAGAATTTATACTAAATGTCTAACTTTGGCGGTCTCTGGGTAGATGAAATCTTAAGGTTTTTTCTTTTGTTCCTTTTCTTATCTAAAATTCCTAACTTGCCAGGCAGTGGTGGTGCATACCTTTAATCCCAGCAGAGGCAGAGGCAGGCGGATCTCTGTGAGTTCGAGGCCAACCTGGTCTACAAGAGCTAGTTCCAGGACAGGCACTAAAAGCTACAGAGAAACCCTGTCTCGAAAAACCAAAAATAAAAAAATAAAATTCCTAATTCATTTGTATTAAACATTGACAGCTAAGTAATTAAACAAACTACTAAAGATAAAATAATGGAAAACTTAGGTCAGGGGGATCATGAATTCAGGGTCATCCTGACTTATAATAAGATTCTGTTAAAAAGTCATATTTATTAAACCAATATCACTATGGGACTTCATAATAAATCATAATTAAGCCTTGGGCTCACAGAACACCCATATGTTTAAATTTTCTTATATATTTACTTATATGGTACTACCTACACTTTGGTTAAAACTTCAGACTCTGAGTTTGTGATAGTTTCCTTACAAATTGGCCCTGCCACAGTTGCTAGCCTCTAGGTCTACATTGTCATCAGGATGATAGGGTCAACAAACCTCACAGCTTTGTTAAAAACACAACGCACAGGAACATGGAATGAACTATAGTTGGCATAATGCCCAGCAGTACTGATAAATTACTGAAAGGGGGCAGCAGACTCTGTACCAGCACAGCAGAAGCCTCCACTGGGCCCCGAAAGCTGTGCTGGACATCCTGAGAGCTCTGTCAGGAAGCGGTGCAGGCAAGAGCAAATGCGCATTTCCAGGCTGTCGATTTCCTAGGGCCTCTTTCTTCGATTGATGTGGAGGGACTGGTTCACTTTGTTAGTAAGTTAAAGCACAGTGCTCAGGAGCCCAAGACCAAAGTCCCAGAGGAAGAAGTACCCCTCCCCCACAGGGAAAGAAAGTACACTTTCAGGTCACACAAGAAAAGTGTTTATTTGGAAAACAATTTCAAGATTACCTCCCAAACTCAGAAGTCACAGTCCAATATATACACTCCAAGTAAACAAGGCAGGACTTCAGCAATTGCTCGCTTAACAAAACTTTTATCTGATTTTGGGAGGAAGAGCTTTCCCTAGTAAGAACCAACTGGAGTGTATAAACACTTTCCTGAAGGGTAACATCATTAATGGAGATACAGACAATTTACAGAAGTCTTACTCAGTTCAGTTTCAGAAAAGAAAATTACAACTTTTCCGAGCTTAGTTTAACACATCTCCTCTTGGGAAGCATTAAATATTCTTTAGTGTGGTTATTCCCATTTTCATTTCTGCCCCAAGTTTTAAAATCACGTTATTTATTTTTAAGGACCCATTTTAGATTTTCATTAAGATTGGCATTTAGTTACTTCATTTGCTTATGTCTCCTTTCTCCTGTGACACTCGTTAAGAACAACTCAGTATTCTGACTTTTTCACCTTGAACTTCATACTAACCACCCCATCTATTCCAGCCTCGATCTCATCATTTTCTTTAACTGGCCCAACTCCCTTTGGAGTCCCGGTCAAGATCAGATCTCCTTCTTCCAAGGTTACAATCTTGGAAACGTAGCTAATGATGTAGGGGATGGAGAAGATCATAGACGAAGTTTTGCCCTCCTGCCTGAGTTCACCGTTGACCTTGAGCCACAGTCTTAGGGCGTGAGGGTCAGGGACCTTCTCCTTGGGCACGAAGGCGCTGACAGGACAGGAGGCCGTAAAACTCTTGGCCAGGGTCCAGGGCAGTCCCTTCTTCTTGCACTCTTCCTGCACATCTCTGGCAGTCATGTCCAGGCACAGAGCGTAGCCGGCCACGTAGTCCATGGCGGCGGCCTCGGGGACGGCTTGAGCACGCCTGCCCAAGAGCACACCCAACTCCACCTCGTGGTGCAGGTTCTGGCAGTAGGCGGGCATTAACACCGGTGAGCCCTCGGGAGCGTACGCGGTAGACGGCTTCAAGAAAAGCACAGGCTCGCTTAGCACCGCGCTGCGCATCTCCTTGACGTGGTCTGCGTAGTTCCTCCCCACGCACACGATATTCTTGCCCCATTCCCAGAAGCGAGACAGAGGCTTGGAGGAAGCCATGGTAAAACCTTGTGTCACGTGAATCCCGGGACTACGGGGGCCTCGAGGGGACAGCTGCCTTAGGACGCCGTTCAGGCCGAAGCGGCCCGCCCTTCCTTGCGCAGCAGCTGGACGCTGGGGTCAGCGGCCCGGAAGAGACGAGGAGGCGTGCGCTCAGCCTCCCTCCGCAGCCCACACCTTCGTCCAGACCCGGTCTCCGGGTCAAGGCTCCCAGGGCACGGTAGGGAACATTTTGGGCAGGAGCTGCTGATTGGCTGGGGGCGGCACCCGCGAGACAGACACTGGTTGGCCGTGCGCTCTATGGGCGGGCACTGTCGGATTGAGGGCGTGGCGTTTCGGTGAAGAGCGGGAGCTGGTTGGTTGGGAGCAGTGCCAGGAGGACACTGATTGGCTGCTATCGCCAACGCTAGTGTTGATGCCCACGACGTTGGTGTTGCGGCTCCGCGACCCGGCTGTGCACCCCGTGGGTCATGGTGCTGGGTCGCGGGCCGCGGTGCCTCCGGAGCTTGTCAGTGCTGGGAGCCGCCTGCGCGCGCCGCGGTCTGGGTAAGTGTGTCTGGGCGCTGACGCGGCGCGGTGCAGGCAGGCCGGACGTCGGTTGGGCGAGCCCTCGCCGCCTCCGGGCGCAGGTGCTGTGCGCTGCCCGGCGGGCGAGAAGCGGGGCCGGGCGTCTTCAGCTTAGACCAGCGGCGCTGACAGGGTCCGTGGCCGGGGACAGAGGGCGGGCACCTGCTCCCACCCGGCGGGAGTCTGACTCCAGTGCCGGGGTCGCAACCTCGGTTTCTAAGCCAGCTGCTTTTCCTCCTGGTGTCCAACTAGTGGGGCAACAGTGGGTTGCCAGCGCTCCGGAGCTGGCCGGCCTGAGTCCAGCTGGCCATGATTTTGGAAGCAATCGTGATTGAAAGTGCGTGGTCCATCTTTACTAAGCAAGAAGCCCTCTCGTTGAGAACCCCAGAAGTACAGGTCTCTCCATTTAAGGAATAGTCTTAGTGTCACTGCTGAAGAGCTAGGCGAGCGCAGTTACTGCTGGTCAGCGCCGCTTATGGGAGTCCGCAGCTCAGCATTTGGTGCCCTAGAAGCCCCCTGGATGAAAAGATGGGACTCTCTGGAAGTCTTCAATTTTTAAACAATGTTATGAGCAAAATAAAACGTGTCTGGGATTTGGTCTTGAACACAGGTTGCAGGTCCCAACTCAAGCAAAAATGTCTCTAGTTGCAAGCCAAAGAGCTGGGAGCATCTTCTGGACAGTGTCAGGCTAGGGTAGTGGGAAAGAGGGTCCTGGAGGTGCCCTCAGTTGGTGAATCCCTTCTTTAGGAGTTATCATGTCTTCTCCAGGTTACTTAACTTCTTTTGAGACCTGGAGTGGGTTGAGCACTAGTAATAATATATTATTTAGCCATTCACTGTTCTGCCAGGAAATACATGAACAGGGCTCATATTCACCTCTCTTCACCCTTCTGCCCTCCATGGGCTTGGGCAGTGCCAGGGCTTAGGGAGTTCAAATATTACAGAAACCTGATATTAGAGAAATATTTATTTTGCTGAACATGCCCAACTGTTGTGCCAAAAAGGAGAAATGGGAATCTGGGGCTTAACTCAGCAAGAGAGCACTTCCCTAGTGTAGTAGTCTTGGGGCCCCGAGGCACCACAGAACAAACAGTTCCATTTGGTTGGTTTCCCTGTCATGGTTGTTAGTTGATAGCACTAGCTATCACAGGGTCAAAGCTGTTGTTTTCTGGATTCCTGAGAGCCAGAATACCACTGTCTCTACCACCTTGTGTGGCTTTCCCCTCTTTGAAGCCAAGGCAGAAAACCTTTTTGGAGGCCCCATGTTTCAGGTTGAATGCGAGTTTTACTGCTGAAAACTGTTTTGGCATCTGAATGGGTGGAGTAGCGTATACTTTTGTCCCTCAGTCCCTTGCTGCCTCCTTGGTGCACCCAGGCCAGTCCTTGCTTGGACAATTGTTCTGTGTCGCTCATGCCTGAGTCTCAGACAGCCAGTGCCTTATTTTCTGGAGCTGGCACTATGTGTATTTTTCATTGTGCTGGCCATTTAGTGTAAAGTGCTGTTTTCTCATCTGGGTAGAGGCCTGAGAAGGGCTGTCGGTTCAGAGGACTGAGCTCTTGTTAGTGCGGAGGCCATGACTGGAGGGCGAGCAGCCATGCTGTGGTGCCTTGTTCTGCCTGCCTCAGCTTTGAGTCACACCACAGGCAGCTGGGAAGGCCTGTAAGAACTTTGAAAAGAAATGCAAGATTCCAAGTCTAGCACAAGGTGTAGCTAACTTGCCTTGCATGTGAGCCCAGGGTTCTGTCCCTTCCACTGCAAAAGACAAATGAAACTGAAAGAGGCTGAGACAGAAGGATTGCCGAATTTAAGGCCAGCCTGGACTACATAATGAGTTTTGGGCTAGACAGGGATATAGAGGGAGATCTATTAAAAAAAAAGCATTCTGAGACAGAATGCTGGTGTATTTCCCACTCAACTTATGTTTTGGTATAAAAGCTGTTTGGAGAATAAAGGAGAGGAATTCTTAAAAAAAAAAAAAAAAAGCAAAGAACCAAACAAAACCCCCAAGAACCTAAAAAGCACCCCCCCCCACAGACCAAAACAATAATTCTGTACCTGATATGGGCTGGCTTACCTAGTCCCCACTTTCCTGAAGGATGTAATGAATAGAGGAGCTTGGGAAAGCCAACTATCAGAGCCCTGAGTGCAAGGGTATGGCTGCTCTGAAGCCTGGGTGAGGTTCCTCCGCTGTGTCTCTTCAGGTCAGGTCCTGCCGGGAGTCCTTCTGTATCACACAGATTTCAGGAAGAGTCTGACTGTGGAGCAAGACATGATGAAGGTTGAGCTACTGCCCGCCCTGACTGACAACTACATGTACCTGATCATTGATGAGGACACCAGGGAGGCTGCCATCGTGGACCCGGTGCAACCCCAGAAGGTAAGGTGTGTGTGGCTCTTCTTAGCTCCCTGAACCGTACACCCAGCACCCTGCCTTCATCCCCGGGGGTTACAGCCATCGGGTCTTTGCGGTTTTGTGGAAGCTAGGTGGAAATTGGTTCATTCAAAACAGTTATGTTTAACCACAGGCCTCTGCGGCAAGCCTGACACATACTTTTAACCCTCCATGCCTAGACACGTGTGAACCCTGAGCTCCTCCTCGTCTTCCATGCTTCTGCTCCAGGGCTGTGGATGACCGCAGTCAGAGCGCCCAGGCTCAGAGCGGTTATGGGTGGGACGGAGTAGTTAAGTTGGTGAAGAGAAAGGAAAAAGAAAAGCTACTGCCTGTAGTCAGTCATTGTGGGTGGGGAGAGAGCTGGGCACCCACTCTGCAGGCAGGTAAACCAGGACCAGAAGTGTGACTGAACCTTGATTCTGCCTCCCCATGCCTGTAGGTTATAGAAACCGTGAAAAAGCACCGTGTAAAGCTGACGACAGTGCTCACCACTCATCACCACTGGTAAGTGCTTAGGCTGTGGATGGACCTGGGGTGGGGTCAGCTATTCACCTGAGAAGTTACTGTCCATAGAGCAGCAATATCCAGGTGAGGTATTTGTGGTGTGTGGAGGAACAGAATAGGGCCAGCACTCTCAGGCACAAGTCCACTGCTGTCCCTTTAAAGTTAGGCTTCTCTGGTCACAGAAGGACCCCAGTAACTGCCTTCACGTATCTTAGGTTCATAAAACGTTCATAAAATGGCATCCACCCATGTCAGAGAGAAAGAGGAGAAGGTAGACATCAGCATTTTCTTAAACAAAACCAACAAAATGGGAGGTGGAGGTGGGTGGAGCTTTGTTTGAGTTTAGAGCTCCCCTGGTCTCTAGTGAGCGCCAGGCTGTGAGACCCTCACTTTTTGGGGGGAAAAGTCTTATATTTCCAGAAGTGTTGATTGACTTTTTTTGTATGGTTGGTTTCGGTGTTTTGAGATAGGATTCCACTCTGTGTGGCACAGGCTGGCCTTGAACTTGGGGCTTTGGGGTAGTGCTGCCCAAAGCCCCATTCCTGGCTTTTATTATTCTTTTGCTTTCTGTTTTTGAGCCAGGGTCTCTGGCTGGCCTAGAATTTGCTTTTGGATCTTTCAAGGCTCTTCAAAAGTAGAAGAAATGTTTGTTGGCTCCTAATCTTCTTTCCTAAATGACTCCGTGAAGAGAGCCAGAGCCTCCGTCTCTGACCCCGTCCTGGGTATGTCAGAGCTGAGAGCCCACGACTCTGCCGAGCCGAGGGAAGGAAACTTGGGGCCCGTGCCTCTCAGTCACTCTGTCTTTGTGGCTGCTTTAGTCAGGCCCCTTAGGTACTGGGTGCGACTTCAGCACCTGGGACAGGGAGTTTGACCTTAGTCTTGGCCTGGACTGCACATTATGGCTGCTCTACTTTGTGAGGCTCCTTCCCTGGGCTTCTAGCTGCTGGCACTTCTACCTTTGGGATCTGATGGCATATGCCTCACAGCCATCACAAACACTGTGCACACTTTGTGTTTTCTGTTCCACCTTAGTAGCTACTACTTCAGATGCCTTTTTCCCGAAACTGTGGCAGAGTCTGGCTTTTTTTTTAATCACCATCTCACACTTATGTCCTCGTCAAGCCTAAGGCTGAGCTAAGGGTCTGGCCTATAGCTCACAGGCAGATCAAGTTGTGTTATTGTTCATTGGTAGTGACATTTTCAAAGGTAGGCAATGAGGTGATGGTGCCTACCTGGCCTGTGTATGATCCTTGTCCTGGAGGCCATGGAGCAGAGAGCTGGGTCACTTGTTCCTGTTACCTTAGAGCCCTGCTGTTCCATGGATCATTTGGCTATGGAGTGGAGTAGCCAAGGGACTGACAGGGGAAGGTGTTTCCCATCCCCATCTTGGAGCTAAAGATGCCCACAGTGTGGGGATTCTCCTGTCTGTGCCTTTACCATGGCCTTGCCCTCTGCTACTCTGGGGAACTGTGGGAGTCCCTGGTCCTAGGAGGTGCCAGCACCTGGCTGTCCTGTGCTCTGCATGCAGACCTCCTGCAGGTGGGCAGGATCTAGGTTCTTGAGTTCCCAGCATAGCCTTTGCCAGTGCTGGCCCAAACTGGGATGCATTAGGATTACCTGGGTGAATCTTCCAACCCACACACCCACCTTAGTGCCCAATCCCTGAGCTCAGAGGTGCGGTCAGAGTGAGGCTTCTGGCTAGTGAGAGCGCTCCAGATAACTTCCTGTGCCCTAAGGTGTGGGAGCCATGCC